AAACTCAAGGCTCTGGGGAGGGTGAGGACGTTGGCAGCCTTAACTCTCCCATGTTTTTCTTATATAATCAACCTAGTCAACAATTCGGACCTTCAAGAAAGTTCGCTAGTTTAGAGGAAGGAAAGTCCAGACTAGGGCTCTCAAACTCAGTGGAAGGATGCCAACACTGAGAAGACAGCCAGACTAGGAATTCCTGGAGGGCCCCAGTGGTTTGCACGGAGTCTGAAACCCAGTAGCATTCAAAGATCCTTCTGATGTTGAAAGAATGAGGACGGGTACGGGAGAGAAGGCAAAAGCCAGCGGCACGCATTTCCTGAGGACAAGCCTGGAGCTGAAAGGGAACATCTCTGTGTGTTCAACGGAGCCCAGAGCCAGCAAGAGGGTTAGGGGGAGGGTCTGGGGACACAATAGCAGGAAGCAGGAGGGGCCAGCAATCGTCATGGCCCACCCCCTTCTCCGCAACACCACCTGGGTCTTCCAGGAGGCTTAGTGGAGTCTCGGCAGACAGGAGATGATCATCTGAGGGGCTAAGTGGGACAGCCAGAAGCCCAAAGCAGGACACTGGTCAGATTACAGGGGTTTTCTGTGAATCTGCAGGACAAGTGGGAGCTGCCCTGGATGGTCTGGGAGATAATTTGTTGAAAGTGCACAAATGGAGCCAGTGTTAGCACAGGAAGTGGAAATAGATTCTTCCTACAAAACCCTTTGTCCCCGAGATGGGACAATTGCCACGGTGACTGGGTCCTTCCCCGAAATGGTCTTGCCGCTTCTACCCTCTGGGTGGCCTCCCAATCTCTCCTACAGAAGTTGGTCCTTTGGACCAACATTAATTGTGGGCCTACTAAGTGCCGGGACCTCAGGCCTAATGGCAGAAAGGGTGAATAGAGAGACACAGCCCAGAATGATCCAAGGAGGGTGTTGACGAAAACCATCCAACCTAAGAGAAAATTTATAAGAGTTTATTTGAGCCAAACTGACGACAAACTGCCAGGAAGCAAAGTCTCAATGGATTGAAAAAATGCTTCAGAAAATGGCCGTTTTGCAACTTATTTTATACATTAGAATCAAAGGAGGAAGGTTACATGAAATCTATTGGTTGTAGAGTAAGGGGGTGGGAGAAAGCAAAGTGCGGAAATCTCTGGGATTGGCTAAAAAAGTAAAATGGAGAGACACACACTTCTTTTACATTGGTGGGTGCAGCATATTTAATAGCATTTTACAGCACATAGAGATAGTATTTGGGGAACAAGATAACAATGAGGGATTTTGTAGTTTCCTCCTCTAGTGTGGTGGGTTGTGTCCCCTGGGGGGTCCAGAAAGAAAGATTACTCTGATATTGCAAGGGTATGTTATCTTAGATGACAGACAGGCTTAAAGTAAAGATTGACCTTTGTTAAGGAAGCTACAGNCTCCAGGTCTCCTAAATCCTCACATCAGGGATACTGGCCAGGGCACATGAGATTTTCAAGCATGGAGCAGCACAGGAGATCAAGCATGGACCTCCCACTTCTTCTGATGGCCTTGGATGAGTCTCCTAATTATTGAGGTACTGAAGCAAAGATGGCCAGTGATCCCCATCTCCCTTTTCTTCCCATGAACACAGCTGGACTACATTTCCCAGCCTCCCTTGCAACTAGAAGCCACCATGTGATCAGGTTCTGGCTAATAGCATAGGATGCTCGCCACTTCCTTGTAATACCTGCTACTCGATCCTCTAAGTTTCTCTCTCTCCTATCGTCTATCTTCCTGATGCAGAGGGGCCAGCAGGAGCCTCTGAGGCACCAGGGGATAGCAGAGCAACAGCGAGAAGGAGGCTGGGTCCCTGAATCACCACGTGGACGCTTTCCCACAGAATGCCCACTGAGTTGTGACATAAGTGATAAATACATGTATTGTGTTAAGCCACAGAGGTCTTGGGTCTTTTGTTATAGCAGTTAGTTTACTATAACTCACAATGAGCCTTTCTAAAATGGGGGCATAACACCATCACATGCAATTCCACCTCCTCAAAGTTCAGTGAAATAAAGTGATCTCTATCAAAGTAGCTAGCATGGGATCTGGTACATAATGAATACGGGGGGGGGGACGACATACAGAGGAAGAAGTAATATAAAAGAGACATGAGCGTGAAGGAGAAAAAAATGGTTTGCAGTAGCTCACATCATCCCCAGCCTCAAGGTATTAATAAGCTGTAGGAGAAAAATGTAAATCGGGCAGCCTGTCAATCAAAACTAAAGCAAGCATCCAGCTTGCAATGCTCAAGCTGACAGATTACGGGACCAGGAAGGTCTGTGAGTGCCTTGTGAATCATCATAGAAAGACTCACTTCTATTCCATGCAATGTTAAGAGTAAGCAGATCTTATTCCATTCCCATCTGTGAAAAACGGGAAACCCACATATGGTAACACTTCCCGGTAGTCTTAAGAATGCAGTCTAAACATTCATAGCAGCAATCTTCAGAATAGCCAAAACGTGCAAGCTCTCCAAATATCCATCAACTACAGAATGGATAAGCAAGACGTGGTACATCCATACAATGGAATGTCATTCAGCAAAAGAAAATGAAGTGCTGATACTGGCTACACTGTGGATGAACCTTGAAAATATCATGAAAGAAACCAGTCACCTATTGCATGATTCCATTTACATAAAGTGTCCAGAATAGGCAGATCTTTACTGACAGAAAGTAGACTAGTGTTTGCCAGGGGCTGGGGGCTATGGGAGATCAGGGTGTGTGTGGGGGGGGCTGATAGATAAGAGGATAACATTTCTTTTCAGACTAATAAAAATGTGCTAACATTGACTGCGATGATGGTTGCACAACTCTGTGAAAATACTAAAAACCATTGTACCCGTTGTTTAAAAGAAGTCACTGTCACCCAGACAGATGGTGGGGGCTCTCCCGAGTTCCCAGCAGCTCCAGGCACACAGACAACTCTGTGCCCCCATGCAGTGCATTCCAGAATCTTCCAGTCTGTGGCAAGAGTTCTTCCGAGAACAGCTCCAGGAAGTCCCAGCAAGAAAGAAACTGCCAGGCTCTCCGCCACCAGACCTTCCTACTGTGCTCTCCTGCCACCCTCGGGGGACAGGCTCACTAGTGAACCCTGGCTCCTGGGAACTTACGGTTCATGCCGACATCGTGGTATGTGAGGATGACGGGCCGGGATCCCTTGGGGGTCCCGCACAGCGTGACATGAATGGAGCCATGCAGAGTCTCGATGTCCTGCTCCTGGGGAGACACAACGGATAGAGGGGCCTGTCACGTGGGCCTGGCAGCGTTGGTGTGGCTGTAATGTAAATACTGACTGCAGACACTTCACTGTGTTTGGAGGGAGCTCTGAGGACCCTTCTCATTTGGTCACGAGAACACTGGGCTTCGGGTGGCAGATCTCTGACCCTCTACAAGAGTCAGGGAGGGAAGGGGGAGGAAAGCTTGACCAAAGGAAAGGGGCTTTAACCCACGAGAGGGCTTCGGGGTCGGGGCAGGAGGGGGACCAAAGGAGGACCCCTTTGAGGTCGATGGTTGTCAATCTGAGCAATGTGGCTCAAAAACAAAGAAAGAAATATGCCCCAAATCTCAGGCTCCGCCTCCAGAGCAGGAAAAGCGCAGTAGCTGTGTTTTTCACAAGAACCCACCACTGGCAGTGATGCCGGGGCTTCCCGGCACTCAGGCTGAGGACCGCTGAAGCAAGCTAGTCTGAAGCTGGTAACAGAGGGGCGTGCGTCTCCCTGGCCACCACTGTGTCTTCGTGAAATGGGAGCATAGTGGAACCTCATGGGGAAGTGAGTGTTTACCGGGTGATGGTGGTGGGTAAACAGGGCACAGAATGGAGGAAACCTTGGCTCCCTGTTAGTACCAGTACCCACCTCCAGTACAGGGGCCCTCCTGGGACACCTGCTTTATCACCCCAACAAAATGAGCCCCCCTGACCACAGACCACCCCCGTCTCCCTGACCCCCACCTCCAATCTCCCCCTCAGGGCCCGGCACTTTGTTGCTGCCTATATAAGCACTGGAAAAACCCAGACCATGGAGCAAGGGCCCGGCCCCCAGTGGGGGCCGCCAGTCATCTGCTGGGCCCAGCCCTGGCCCTGAAGCCGCTACAGGAACAATGGTCCATTGTGGGGGCCACATTCTCTATTGTCTCCCCAGCTGACCCACATGGCACCCTCTAAAAATAGGCCAGGCCAGGCGGTGTCCCCACCAGCCTGGGACATCAGGGTTCAAATCCACGCGCCACCTTTCCCCAACCGCTCTGAGCCCCTGGGTCCACACCTCTAAGCCAGGAGCGAGGCACCTCAGCCCAGGTTCCTGCGTGCAGGAGATCACCTTGTGGAAAGCAGATCCTCAGTACAGGTGGCGGAGGGTTCTAATGAGGTGCCTCGGCACCACCTTGGTGGCAGGTATGGGACACCCAGCCCCGGCTGGCGTCAAGGGTATCACTGCCAGCATCCCTGGTGTGGGATGGGTAACAGATGCTAACTCATCTCTTTGGAGGCCCTTACAATGATGCAGCTGTGGAACCAGAACTAAACCTGTTCAAACAGGCAGGGGCGGCCGCTATTTACAGCTCTGCCCTCAGGCCCTGGCACAGCTGCCTGCCCACAGCAGGTGCTCGGGGTCTGTTGGGTAACGACAGTCCACATTTCACATATTAGGACGACCGAGGCCAAGAGAGGGTAAGTAACCTTCCCAAGGTCACACGGCTGGAACAGCACANGTTGGGAGCGCGACCCAGGTGTTACCCAGCCGGCTCGCCACCCCTCCCCAGCTTCGGGAAAGACGAGCGGGGACCTGTATCTTTTCCTCCTCTTCCTTAATCGAGACCCCCTACTCCAGCGGCGCCCGCGCCCCCAAGCCCTGCTCGCGCTCGCGCCACGGGGTCGCCGCGCACTTGCAGCTCCGAGGGGCCACAAAGCGCGGTCCAGGAGAGCTGCCGCAGCACCCACGGGCGACCAATATCCACTCCCGCCCCACAAGAAGAGGGCGTGGTCCTTACCCAAGGTAGAGAGAGAAAGGCCAACAGGAGCCGAAGCGAGGCTGGCGGTGCCAGGCGGGAACCAAGGAGAGCCGCGAGGACGCGCGTGCGTTCACCCGCCGGAGAGCAGAGCCAGGCGAGGTTTGTTTATGCCCGGGAGGAGGGAGACTTTATAGGCGCCGCGACCCCGCCCCCGCGGCTCGCCCCGCCCCGCCCCTCCCAGGCCCCGTGGGCTGCGGGGACACACCCCTTGCCCGCGCCCTCCTCCGCCGCGCTCCTCCCGCTCCAGCTGGCGCGCCTGGCTCAGCTCAGGCAGCGCACGGCCGGCGCCCGCCTGAGCCGCCGCCTGTTGCGCAAGCCCTGTTAGGGGTGCGGCGGGGAGGGACCTCGGGGCTCCGGCTGCGGTTTGACTCTGCGGGCCCCTCCCTCGCCCGGTAGGCCAGAGCCTCGGCGTGTGCAGCGTGCGTGTGTGCACGGGGGATGCGTGTGTGTGTGCGTGTGCACGTGCGCCCTCATGCGTGTGTGTATGGACTTCCGTGTGTCCCTGTGTGACCGAGTGTCTCCCACCTCCGTCTCAGAGTGTCTTCTTCCGAGTGTCATCGCGCCATGAGCTGATATCCCTTTTGGGTGACTCCTGCACTGCTTCCAGGTCTTAACTCCCGAACCCCATTTAGCTGCCTCCTGCCCCCCCCCCGCCCCAGGCGACCAGCACCCTGCGATTCTCACTCCATGCCCCCTAATTGTTGCATCAGCTCTCCGCTGAAACCCAGGATCCCATTTAAATTGTCCATCGTGCTCACCTCATCCCGATGCCCAGGTGCTCCCCTTCCCCTCCACCTCCCTACCTCTAAACCCACCCGCCCTTCTCCGTCCGCCAGTCCGGTGTCACTGTCTCTTGCTCCCCTCCCCCCACTCCCAGGAGCCTGACTTGGGAATATTCTCACTCTTTCCTCTTCTGGTTCCCAGAACTTGTACCGAGCAGGACCCTTTCACCCTTAGCTGTCCTGTGCTGTCTTGCTTTTGCTTAATGACTGCCTTTGTGCTCTTAACCCGCAAAGCATATTGGAATCCCCAGCGGAACTTTGTTTAAAAAGGTGCGCGCCAGGGCCCCCTCAAAGGCCACTTTAATCGGAACCTCAAGGAGTGCAGACCAGGCATTAGGGTGTTTTAAAAACATCTCAGGTGGTCCTAATGTGCAGCCCTGATGCGAACCACTGCACTGAAGAAACATCATTGTCAGTGTCCCCAGACCCCCTCCCCAGCCTTGTATTTGCAGGCTTAGGTGCCCCTCCTCCAACCTCTCTCTTCTGACTGATTGTGAACCTTTTCATGCTTTGCTCAAACCAGGGAACCTGGCTCTCCTTTGTGCATCCCATTTGCCCCTTTAGGCCCTGATGTTTGCTTATTCTGTCATTCCACAAATATTTATTGAGCGGCTGCTTCGAGCCAGGTTCTATGCTCAGCCACTGGGGAAAGGACTAAAACGGCAAAGTCCACTCCTCAGGGGCATAGCCTGGGAGCCCTAAGTCTCAATTTCCCCATCCAATGGAGAATGGTAAGGTGAGCTCATTCACTCCGTAACTGGATGGAACACCTACTATGTGCAGGCATCATGCTAGACATGCGGATACCGTAAGGACCAAAAGTGTTCTCCACAGCCGCTCTGTTCTCTGTTGTCTGAAGACCCTCCCAGATCCAGCAATCTGTATGACAAATTTCTTTTATCGGACTCACATACACCCATTTCCCTCACTTCTGCTGTTTTGGCTTCCAACAAATATTTATTGAACACCTGTGGTTTGCCACCTGCCAAAGATTCAGAGGGTCAAGTTCAAAGCATGGAGGAGGCTGCTTGCTCCTTCAGTAACAAATGCAAACCCTCATGTGGGGGCAGGAGAGGGGCATTTTGCTTGGCAAGGTCATTTCCTGCACCGTGTAGGATGACTTTGGGGCAGAGGGCACAGGGCAACCAAGACCTGCAGCCAGAGGCCCCAAAGTGGCCCGGTGGGAGGCTAACTGCTTAGGAACCCCGAATTTCCAGAAGGCGATGAAGAGAGAATAAATTAGGGGGCAGGGAGGAAAGATGCCAGAGGCATAGAGGAGAGGAAAGAAGAACTGGTATGGTGGAGAATTTTCTGAGAGTAGCGACGTTCTAAAACCAGGGTTAAAAGAGATCTTTGCAGAGTCTAAGTCAGCTTGGAAAAGTTCTGAGAAAGGTGCCGTTGGATCCCACACTCCCTCTATCACAGGTCCAGCACAGCTATCAATGTTGCAATGGATTGTTTTTTCCACTGAGCCTCGGATGCAGCCTTTTTCATGTGTTTACCTGAGGTGGCCACACTCTAGGAAAGACTACCTTTGGTGCAGCCCTGGGTGCACACACAGGTAGAGGATGCTCAATCTATGGAGTGGCCCCACAGCACCAGGTCCCCCCAGGCCAGGCCAGCTGAGGCAGCAGAAGCCCTTGGAACCAAATGCAAGCACAATTGCACTGAGCTTTTAAAATTATTTCTTTCTTGCTGGTCAGCAATAGAATTAGATTGCTTTGTAAATGCACACGAGCCGCAAATCCATCACAGGATGAGACTGGATTTTCCAGACTTAATGTCCCCTGGAAATTTCTATTTCGCAACCTTAAATTTTATCATAGGCAATTTGAACAGAAAGGGCCATAGGGATTATCTATTCCCAACCCTCCTGGGAATGTGAGGGTACTCGGGGTTGAGAGAGACCCAAGAGGCAGCTGGAGTTCAAGGGGGAAGAACACCTGATTTCAGAAGTAGGAGCTGTGCTGCTTTGCGCAGTTATCATGCCTCCCTGTGCATCAATCTCCTCCACACGCACATGGAGGAAACAGGTGAGAGGAGCCATCAGGATAGTTCAACCACAATTTATGAGTCCACTACCGCAGTCTCATATTCTTCTTCCTCCTGTTAAAATGAGAAAGCGTCCCTGAAAAGCCAGCATCTCCCAGCTCCAGGTCTGGGCTCCCTGTCAATCCCCGTACCCCTCCCTCCCTTCTGGATCACTCTAATCAAAAAGTACATATCGGGCCGGCCGAGTGGCGCGGTGGTTAAGAGCTGGCTTGGGACGCCAGAGGGCCCCGGTTCGGATCCCACATATGAGGGCCAGTGACACTGCCCTCTACAGCTGAGATGCTGAACAACAGNAGAGAGAGAGAGAGAGAGAGAGAGAGAGAGAGAGAAAGAGAGAAAGAAAGAGCAAGCGAGCGGACATGCTTTGGATGAAGGGAGGGAAAGGGCCTGACACCCACTCCCCAGCACCCCTCCTCTCCTCCTCCCCACCGTCTGCCTCCCCCACTCCCCCATGCTGCATGACCCGTCCTCAGAGACCATCTGAGTTCACCAAGTGGGGTTAGAAACAGCGATTTATTTGGAGGTTACTTCCTGTATATACTAGGCTCCCATGTGCCCAGCACTGAGCAAAGTGTCAAAGTGCCAGTAACAGTTTTGTTGACGAGGCCCTACTATATGACAAGTTGGGAACACGGCCATGAACAAACAGGCCCAGTCCTGCCCCATGGAGTTCACAGCCTCGTGGGGCAGGTGCCACCCCTGAGTTCCCCAGCACCCACTCACCCATCAGGCCCGCGGTAACTGTCCTGTCTCCCCAGGAGGCCATGCTGTCCTGCAGGGCAAGGTGGACGTGGCCTCCAGAAATGCTGTGTCTCCACTGCACCGGTTCCCTACTGCTCACATTGGGGTGCATCCCTTTGTGGTGGAGGCCGGCATTACATTGTAGGAGGGTCAGCAGCTCCCCGGGCCTCCGTCTACTAGATACCAGTAGCACACACCCCCCTTCCATGAGAACCAAAAATCTCTGTGCAATTTGACAAATGTTCTCTGGGGGCAAAATCACCCCTGATTGGAAATCACTGATCTAGGGCAGTTCCTGGTATGAATCCAGAGGATATCTATTAGGTGCAATGCTTATTTAAACTAGCGTGCGTGCACACTCACACATTCTCACACACACCACCACCACCACCACCACCAAGGGAAAGGCTGGGGCCCCAGGGGCGTGAATGACAGTCCTGAGGTGGCACAGCCAGCACAGATGGCGTGGCAGAGGTGGCGAGGCCTCTGATGCTCATACTTAGAATTCGCCACACTCTCCCGCAAAAAGCTTTCTCTGTAGGGTTCAAATTCACAGCCCCAGGACCCTGAGGCCCATTTAAGGAAGGAGTTCCAGTTACAATAGACGCTACTGTATAGGCGACTACGATCTCCTTCACCAGGAGGGAGGGGCAGCGGGGAGGTGCCTGGTTGGGGGTACTCTGGCTGTTGCCCCCATCCCCACCACTTGAAGCCCACACCCAGGGGGTCACTCCACCAGCCAACCTAAGGCCCTGCTCAGCTCAGCGAGGTCTCTCCTTGGGCTTGAGGCCAAGCCCTGGGTGCCAGTACCCTGCCCTCTCCACCGCCTCCTGGAAAGTCCCAGTGCAGAATGTCGGACTGAAACGGGCCAAGCCTATTGTTCAGCAGACAGGGTGACAGGGCAGGCCACGTGGGGCACAGTGGGTGGGAGCCTGAGTGTCCGACTCCCAGCCTTCCACCGTGCCGGATGGTGGAGGGACAGGGAATTGGGTCAGGACAGGGTTCCTGCAGAAACCCCACTCAGTGCCAAAAACTGGGCTCCAAATCACAGCGCCAGCCGCCAGACTGGCACCTATCACCACTTCCTCCTTTCCCACCTGCCCTCCCCAGGAGGAACGCAGAGAAAACAAATGTCAAGGAAGCGAAAGGTAGCCAGGAGCTGGGGGACGATTTGAGGGTCAGACCTGGGCGTCACCATTTCTTAACTCTCTGATCTAACCGCCTAGCTTCAGTTTGCCCGTCTGTAAAGCAGGCATAATTCCTGCTCCCAGCGAGTAGCAGTGAGGCTTAAAATTAAACAGTGGCACACTGTCTGGTCAATCTGGTCAATAGCTGCTTCATTCATCAGTGCACTTTCTTTACCTGGTTGTCTCAGAGACCGGGGGACATCTATGAGGACACGGCCTGTGTTTTATACACTGTTAGCCCCCGAGTGGCCCGGCGAGGAGGAGGATACACAAAAGACGTTCAGCACATGCCACGTGAGTTTCCAGTGATCAGAGCCAACGCCCCACCATGTGGGTTTCCTCCAATGGCAACGCTGGTCAAT